ATAATGATAATGTATATAAGTATAAAAATAATTATAATATGTAAACAGACTTCTTTTCATTCATTGAAAAGAAGTTGGAATGGCAATATACAGCAAGTTCTCTATGCAGTCTCATCTGATATGTTTATGTGGCATGACTTTTTTAATGCAGGAGGCCAAGTTTGTAATTTGGCTAGCATTTAAGATGTAGTAGCTAGGGACAGAGCAAGCCAGGTATCTGAGTGCACATTGCCTGGACCATTTAGGTAAGAATGTTTTATATACTTTGTTGCCACATAAGATAAAAAGACCAGTGTTGTTCCTGGACAAGGTCAGAGTGGAACCTACAATTCCTCAGGCCCAGTGAGTGTCACAGTTTTTATTATTGGTCATGTTGGCATCTGTACACCTTCTTTTTTTCTTTTTTTCTCTTTCCAACCGTTGTTTATAGTCTTTAGAATAATTATGTATTCCAAGCTTTGGGGGACAAAATCAATAACTCTGACATTCCAATCAACCTTGAAATTAACTCCATTCTGACTGAAACTTCAGCCACTGAGCAGACATTTTTTGATGTGCAATCATGCACTTTTTCCTTGGGGTGGAAAATTAACTGCATAATTTGGAATCATATGGAGAGTTGTATACCTCCTTTTCCATGTGTTGCTATCAGTTTGTAAAAGAAGGACATGTAAAATATTTGATATAGAAGACATGTAGTCTGGCTTTGGTAGCTCCTAAAGCTTGGTTTTGTCACCAATTATTTCAGATTCTTGTCTACTCATATAAATTTTTTTTTTTATTAAGTAGCCTAATCAGGGAAACAGCTGAGCTACTCTGGGTTCTCTGCAAGACTGACTTATGAGCCAGCCGACTTAGTGATTTGGAAAAAGCCTGTGTCTTAATGGGCATTGCTGGAACCACTCATGGACCTCCATAAAGGGTTTGAAGATGCTGAGTGTGGAATCAAACCACAGGGTTTGATTGCAATATCACCTTGGTTTGCCACATAGGAAGGGTCCATTTACCATGTCTCTTTTTAACACATGGAAAATAAATTGCTTCCAATATCTTTACCCTGAGCAAGTGATCATCCTTGAGCTTACAAAGAGGTTTTTCCTGGCTGAATAAACTCACCAGAAGGGAAGGTAGTAGTGACATTGTTTTTCTGGTCATGGATACCATACACATTAATGCATCCATCTTCCACAATTTGTCCACCAGATGCTGACATTGGCAGAAATGAAAATTAGTTCAGGATTCTTCACACTATGTAGATGTTGACATAACTAGCAATCATATTGATTAGTTAACATGACCAAGGTTGGAGAGAGCATTGTAAGGGGGTGTCAGGTCATGCCTGACTTGTTAATAAAACAGCAAGGCTAAAATGAGAGAGATACAGTTGAAAGAGAACTCATAGTGGAGGATCAGAGGGAGAGAAGGATAGATTGAGACAAGTAATCTCCAGTCACATTTCAATAAATGAAGGAGAAAGGGTACATTTAGGTTAAAAAAATGCCCCCCCCACCACTGCCTCAGGAAGGAGAGAGACTTAAAAGCAGGAAAAATAGATGGCAACAAAGTTTCTTGATCTGTGATCACTTTGTGGTGTCATCTTGCTTCTAGAGCCTTGGAATTGGCTCTGAAATTCTTATTATGAGGTCACTGTAAGAATGGTCTTCCAGTAGTCCTGGGAATGATGGTTTAGATCTAGCTTGGTGTGGCTCATGTGAATCCAGGAAGATTTTCCTTTTTTTTTATTATCATGGTCATGTAGGCAGTTAGCAGTACGTCATCAGGTCCTCCTCAGCAAGGTAACAGTGCATGCCTTCTCCTAAAAATCTTGATGTTCACCTGAATTCCTGGTCAAAAAAGATGGCAAGATTTATCAATCAGTGAAGGTCATACCTTTTTTACTTATGGACAATATTTTCCAAGAATACTATTTCTTGTATAATAGCTAATCATAACATCGAATTGTCCACTCAAGTTCCCATAATGTTTACTCAATTCTGGAATATAAGATTTTGAAATGCCAGTAGATATAAGATGTCCAAAAACTATAAAAGAGGTTATTCTATGTCTATATTTGGAGAATAACATATTTTTGTAAGGGCCGAAGGTAATGCCTTTAGCCATTTAAATCCAGGTTCTTTCTAAAGTCATTTTATGTCTAGAATTTTATGTTCCACTTGTTCCGATGATTGAAGATGGGGATGTGCAGTATGGCTTGGGCAACTACAAGATTTGGTTTTTGTCTCCTTACCAAGTTATTGTAGATTTTTAGTCTACCCATAGGAAATTTCTGGTGTTAGGTAGCCTAATTAGGGAAGCAGCTGAGCTGCCACAGGTTATGTGAGACTGGCCTATGCATCTGCCCAAACATTTGGTGATTTGGCAAAAGTTTGTGCTGTAAAAGCCAGAGCTGGAACCACTTATTACCTCTGTGAAGGAAGTGGTTTATTTCTTCAAAAAATTTATTTCTTCATCTGATTCAATGATAAAGGAGTGCCGAAATGAGGAAAATCTCAGTTACTAATGTCTTTATCACTATCATGGTGTTTTTTTTTTTTTTTTTTTTTTTTTTTTTTTTTTTTTTTACAAAGAGTGATAAATTGTAGAGGAGTTAGAAGACAAAGAAAAGAGGTTTAACCTTCTAGGAGAAGTAATTTGTGGGGTAGTGACTAGGAAATATATGGGAGAACTAATGAAAGATAGGGGTTATTTTAGTAAGATTGTATGTATCTATTTCAGCATTGACACCCAGTCTCCAGTGATAAGAATGTTCTCATGTGAGAAAATATTTGTAACTATCTATTCAACAAGGGATTAATATCCAGAATATACAAGGAACTCAAAACTCAACAGGAAAAACTAGTCCGATTAAAAAATGGGCAAATGATCTGAATAGGTATTTCTCAAAAGAAGAGATACAAATGGCCAAGAAGTCACGTATGACATAACAACCTTACAGTCAATCATCAATCACAGCGGTCCTATAAGATTATAATGGAACTGAAAAATTCCTATTGCCTAAAGATGTAATCATTTAATGTCATGCAATAATGCATTTCCTTTTCTATGTTTAGATACACAAATACTTACCATTGTGTTATAGTTGTTTATAGAATTCAGTAACATGCTGTACAGGTTTGTAGCCCCAGAGCAATAGGCTATACCATATAGTCTAGGTGTGTAGTAGGCTATACCATCTAGGTTTGTGTAAGTATACACTATGACATTTGCCCAATGTTGAAATTGCTTAATTATGCATTTCTCATAAGATATTCTGCTATTAAGTGACACGAATATAGATGAAAAATGCTCAACATCACTAAACATTAGGGAAATCAAAACCACAGGGAAATGTCATCTCAGTCCAGTTAAAATGGCCATTATCAAAAAGACATAAAATGAACATGTTCTAGTGAGGGTACAGAAAAAGGGGACTTTTTTTTTTTTTTGAAACATTGTCTTGTTCTGTTGCGCAGGCTAGAGTTCAGTGGCATCATCATAGCTTCATAGCTTACTGCAACCTTGAACTAGCAGGCTCAAGCAATCCTCCTCAGCTTCCTGAATAGCTAGGATTACAGGCATGTGCTACTATGCCTAGATAATTCTTCTATGTTTTGTAGAGACAGAGTCTCACTCTTCCTCAGGCTGGTTTGGAACTCCTGACCTCAAGCAATCCTCCTGACTTGGCCTCCCAAAGTGCTAGGATTATAGGTGTGAGCCACTGCACCTGGCCTGGGCACTCTTATACTTTCTTGTTAGGAATGTAAATAAATTAGTACAGTCACTATGCAAAATGGAATTAAATTTCCTTAAAAAAACTAAAAAATGGAACTAAATATGATCTAGCAATACCACTACTGTCTATACATCCAAAGGAAAGGAAATTGGTGTGTCAAAGAGATACCTGCACTGCCATATTTTTTGCAGTATTATTCATAATAGCCAAGATATGGAATCAATCTATGTGTCCATCAACAGATGAATAGATAAAGGAAATGTATATATATACACAATGGAATATAATTTAGCCACAAAACATAATGAAATCCTGTCTTTTGCTGTAGCATCGATGAAGCTGAAAGACATTATGTTAAGTTAAATAACCCAGCACAGAAAATAAAATACCTAATGGTTTCACTTATATGTGGAAGCTAAAAATGTTGATCTCATAGAAGAAGAGAGTAAAATAGTAGTTATTTGAAGTCGGGAAGAGTAGGCAGAAAGAGGGATAAAGAGAAGTAGGTTAATGGATACGAAATTACAGTACAATAGGAGGAATAAGTTCTAGTGTTCTATAGGGATAAAGGGTGATTATACTTGACAACAATTTACTATACAATTTCAAATAGCTAGATGAGAGAACAATAATTTACTGTACAATTTCAAATAGCTAGATGAGAGAATTTATAATGTTCCCAACATAAATGACAAATGTTTGAGATGATAGATATTAAAATTACCTTGATTTTATCATTATTTGTACCCCATAAATAGGTGCGATTAGTAAGTATGAATTATAGATAAAAAAATGTTCTCTTCTTCCTGGTATAGGGAGGATACCTTGTCCATGAGAAATTTTATGTTTTGCTTCAAGCAGCAAGGATGCAATCAGAGAGCCCTTTCTCATAAGATATTCTGCTATTGCTCAATTACCTCCAGCTCACAATATGCCAAAATGTGTATGTTCTGAACCCCTTCACAGGCATTGGGTTAAGTGTTTTATGTATATTTTTTCATTTTATGTAAATTTCATTAAAATCTCACAGCAGACATATGAGATGGTTGCTTAATATGTACCTTTTACAGTTAAAATACAAAACTAAGGTGAGGTAAAGTTACATAGTTTGGGCACGGTTACATTGATACTGAGAAGCCAGATTCTAGGCATGTTGGTCCTAATCTAGAAAACTAAATCACTTAATTCCAGTAGTTTAGACATTTATAGATATTACTTAAGGAATCCTCAGATAAAAATTCTCTTCTGGTCACTGAAGAGATTAAGTAACTCGCTTAAGGCCAGTTAATTATAATAAAGTGGCTGCCCTTAGGATTCAAAACCCTGGTGTGTCAGACTCTAAGGCTTTTGTGTATCCAAGTGATTTGATCCCTTACACAGTAAAAAAAAATACATCTTACACTGTTTACTCAGTATACACATATATAAATATATAACTGAATGAAAAGGGTCATAAAATAATACCCTTATTACATGCAATGGCACTCTGTTACTTCCTGTCTTAACCTATCCTATCCTATGCTAAACCTTTAAAGTCTATTTTACTTATTTTAAAAAATGCTCAATACAACCAATTAAATTTATTTTATGGCCAGCTTTTAAGTTGTGAGTTCAGTTTGTAAAAAAATGCTAAGTGTAAGCCTACCTAATATTACTTTCTTGGATCATTATCTGACAATTACCCTCTATTGTACTTAAAATGCATAGGACTATGTAGGTGATATTTAGCTGATGCTCTGAAATGCTCTTTCTAATTAGATTTTGGTCAGAGATAATTCACTGTGTGAAGGCCTAACCAAACTCTCCCCTGGAAGGGTTGATTTAGCTCTCCTATTTCCCCTTTAAGGAGAAGCATGTGATCTCTGTTGAGGATAATCACCAACAGCCTCTCATATTGGTAGAGATAAAGGGGAAATTTAATTATAAGCAAACCTTGTTCTGAGTTTCTACAATTTGAAATGAATTTTGCTAGTTAAGACTCTTCCTGTCTCTCATTTTTTATTAACCACATTCTTTAAAGGAGAATTATGTTATTATTACTCCCAAACATCTCTATATTGTATAAATCAGTGTCCATAGTAAATATTTCTGTGATGTTCTTGGGCTAGGAATTTACAATCTCTAAGGTTTTCTCAAGATACTTGTAATCTAATTATATACATTGTCCTTTGGCTCCCAAATGGTCAAAAATAACTCTCTCTATACCTATTACAGCTGCCCTTCTTATAGTTTGGAATAAATTCAAATAAGCCATAATCAAGATTTAATAATATTGGTAGTCTAGGGGAAGTAACCCTACACTTTAGATTTACATTGATTTCTATAAAAATACTTTATAGGTATCATTTCACACATCTTAGCACTCTTGGAAGTTAGATAGATTTATGTATTACCCATATAGTTAAATATTTGAAGATTGAGTAATTTGGATCCTCAGGCTGTTGCATGACAGAGCTAGAAATGGAAATAAAGCCTCAATCCTTTTCTGGATCTGGGCTCCTCAATCATTTTAGACATGTGTGTCACCAGTCTCCAGCTCCCATGAACAGATAGAAGACTCAGTTAAGATAGAAAATAAAAGGTTAAAAGCAAAGGTGAGAAAAAAGTCATTGTAAAGAAAGACATTAATGTTTCTCGTGCTGCTTTGTGGCGTAAATATTTTCTAATCTTGTACTTTATATTACACCATTAGCTAGAAAGAATGATGGCAGTTGGTTCTGGGAAGACATTTTATTACTTAGGGCTTCAGGCATAGTTTCATTTTCACAACATGCACATTCCTTTTTTTTTTTTTTTTTAAAGAGACGAGGATTTCTATGTTTTGCCCAGGATGGAATTTGGTGGCTGTTCACACATGAGATATTGGCACACTACAGCCTCAAACTCCTGGGCTCAAGAGATCTTCCGGCCTCAGCTTCCCAAGTAGCTGGGACCACAAGAGTGACCCACCATGCCCAGCTCTTCAAAATGTACATGTTTTATTTTTTTTCCTGTGAACTTGGGTAGAGAAATAAAAGTGTGCATTCTTAAGGTAGATGAGAGTACATGTCTTTTTAAAAACAT